GTAAAGTTAACTGTATTTGCAAATTTTTAATATTATTTTTGCATAAACAGAATTGTGTGACGAGCTGAAAGCAGTAGTTGTATATACTTTCCTACTGGAGTGTGTGATTTTATTAAGGAATGAAGCAGATCTTTTTTTTTAGTTATTAGCAATTAATTAGTTTTTGGATTACGCCTTAGCTGCAAATTCGGGATTTAGAGTCAGTGGATTCTGGGCTAGATAAGCTAATAGTATGTAATATTTACTATTATTTTGTACATGTACAAAATTGTGTGATGAGCTGAAGGAAGTATAGCTGTCCACTCGTATGTGTGGTTCTGTTCAGAAAATTAAACAGATCTATGTTTTTCTTTTGTGAACAATCAATTAGATTTACTTGTAAGGTTTGGAGTTGGTGAATTTTGAGTGAGGTTTTTATTATAGTAAAAATAATTGTATGTAATGTGTTTGTCTTTATGAATTTGTGATGAGCTGAAAGTAGCAGGTGTGATAGGTGTGATATTAATATCTTTAGAATTGCACATGATGTATGTGTTTTTATTTTTATGTTGTTGTGTTTTGCATCTTTTCTTTTTGTTGCTTTTGTGGAATTTGAAATTTGTGGTAAAAGGTGTCCATTTGAATATCAGATCAGGGTTTGGAGTTGAAGGTACGGGGGGCTAATTGATGGCGTCGAAGAGGATATTGAAGGAGCTCAAGGATCTGCAGAAGGATCCCCCCACATCATGCAGTGCTGGTAATTTAGCTGAACTATTTATTCCATTATTTAATTTATTAGCTTTCTGGGATTATGTTTTCTTAGCCAATGGAACTATAGGTCCCTACTCATGTATTGATGATAGTGTCCTTGTTTTAGGGTGTTTGTGTTTGTTTGACTCTTCGAGCTTCTCTTTGCAGATAATGGCTCGGAGTTACTTATAGCAGATATGTTAAATATAGTAAATAATTACCTTAGTTGGTGGTGAAGCTATCTGCTCTTTGATTTAACAAGCAGTATGGCATGGTAAAATGCCCGTGAAATAACGTCATTTATGTTATCTGATTTGTGCATTGACTGCATTCCAATCGAATACACATCATTTTGCACTATTTGGTCACTCTAGTCTCTAGCGACTCTTTTTATCGCACTCTTTGCTAGGAGAATACAAGATGTCATTGATGACAATTAATATGTGAAGAACGGTACTTCAATTTGTGTGTTATTCTTTTTTGTGCTTCACTTTTCCTTCATTCTAAGTTTGATTGACATTACGGTTCATCTGTGAATAACAAAAATTATTAAGATGGAAAGGAAGTCATGGTGGCTATGCTGTCAGTGATTGCAACCTTTGTGGAATGTTAATATGTATAAGGGAATGCAATCCAGATGTTCACTTTTCTATTTACAGTGACCACCTGAAAGAAACCTTTATGCTCATATTCACTAGCATATTTGGCTTTATACAGGTCCAGTGGCAGAGGATATGTTCCATTGGCAAGCAACAATCATGGGGCCTACCGATAGCCCTTATGCTGGAGGTGTATTTTTGGTTTCAATTCATTTCCCTCCAGATTATCCTTTTAAGCCTCCAAAGGTATACTTCAACTCCAGAATATCCCTAATCTTCACTTATGTCGTGTTCACTACTTTGTTTTTTCTATTGAGGAGGAGAGTGATCATTTTGCTTGCATTTGCTCATATGTTGGAGCCTTAGTAAATCCATCTCAAATATGAGTTTTTAGAACATTCTCGCAGAAGCAGTACATATTTTGTTTTTGTAGGTCTGACCTTCAGTTCGTGTATTTACTTGTCTCTTTAATTTTTGTAACAACGAAGGAGCTAGCATCAGTTTGCTGTTAGTACAAGTTAAACTGTATCTGGATATTTAGTGTGTTGTCTTGTCTTTTTTTGAGCACTTCTATGAATTGTGTAATTAAAGTTCTTTTCATTGTAATAATCTGAGGTGGTGATTTTACAAATGATCTTTTTGCTGTTTCAGGTTGCCTTCAGAACTAAGGTTTTCCATCCCAACATCAACAGCAATGGAAGTATTTGTCTGGATATTCTTAAGGAGCAGTGGAGTCCAGCATTAACCATATCCAAGGTTTGGAGCTTAATCTTTCTTTGCATTGCCCCATTTAACATAGTTTTTGAGTCTTAAATTGCTTTTTACAAAAATCCAAAGTCCATAATTGATACTGTAAGTTCTCAAGGATGATTCTGTTCTGTGGTTCATAGCAATCATTGAATACTCATTGATTTGATCAAGGTTTTTGACACCTTTACAAACTTGACTCTTCATTTTGGCAAATACTGCTTGGGGCCAATAAAATCATGGCTTAGGGTCAAGCCAGATTATCCTGCTTAGAAATACATTTCAATCTATGCCTAGTTGTGAGAGAGCCATCAGATATAGTGTCAAATTCTGCCAAAAATGAGAGATATAGTGCCATAACGTGAATCACAATGTTGATAATAGTAATCCTTTTGTTGTTTGTTTTTCTCGTACAAGTTGTTCTGTCTTGACAAGTCTCTAATTGCACGCCAACTAGTAGTAGAATTTAGCAGTAGAGGAAGGCCAGTGGATAGAAAGACTGTCTTGATTGTCCAAAAAAACAAAGTGGACTCATGTGTTCCTACTACCTTGGCATTACAAGGATTAAGTCTTATAATTTGTGCAATGGCGAAGACTTATCTGGACTTCTGCTATTGAAAAATTAAGTTAATCAGCATAGGTCTCCGTACTCTCATTTTTTTGATGCAGCTGTCTTGTTTTCTAGACAAGTGTAGTTTTGAAATGTTCCATTTCAAGTGTAGTGAGGTTAACTGCCTTTTTTCTTGCAACTGCAAGTATGCAACTTTTAAATACTCCTTCCAAAGCTGATGTCCTTGTGTGCAAGAGTTCTGTCTTCAGAAATCTTAAAAAGTTTTTCTTCTACTCAAATTTTGTGTCTTTTTCCCGTTTTGAGTTGCCTTTGGGTGAAGGTGTGTAACCAACAATATGCTTGCAGGTCCTGCTGTCCATCTGCTCTCTGTTGACAGACCCAAACCCAGATGATCCTCTTGTACCTGAAATTGCTCACATGTACAAGACTGACAGGGCCAAATACGAAACCACTGCTCGTAGCTGGACTCAGAAATATGCAATGGGATGATGCGCAAAATTGTCTCCAGGCATGTCTGGGACTTTTGTAACAGCAATGTCTTATTGTGCTTGGGGTGAATGAATAAATTCCGTGAAAGAACTTAGTTACTTCTTAATCTCCCTTCATGAGGGTTGTTAAGGGAACAGCTGTTTTCAATTTGTGAATATTTATTTGATGACTAGTAAGGGAGAAACTGCAATGTAATTCTACTTTGTTTGCCAGTTTGACATGCGCCTTTCCCCAAATTTGTCTGACAAATATAGTTTACATCTTTGAATTCTGGGATTGATTTACAAATTATCAAACACTAGTTTTTCATCATGTTCTATTGTTGAAAATGGAAATGATGACAAGTAATTTTATTATTGCGAGTGTATATGCCTTTTGGTAAAGCACCGTCGTGCCGAGGGTCTCCTTAATGGAAGAAAAAACAGAAGAGAGAAATATTATTAAGAGTACTATGCATACAAAAGAAAGGATGAATGACTCTTCACATATGAGAAATCAGTCGTCACGTAATGCTTGTTGGTTCTTTTATTGTATTTTGGCTATATATGTGTAATATAACGAGATATTGATGCTGATTTGAACCCTCAGTGTGGGTAAAAACTTGTTCCACTAAAACCTGCAATGTGCATGAAGGAATTAGTAGAAAAAACGAGTACAAAAGAAAATCAATATAATCTATAAGAACTAGGATAAGTAAAAAATTATAACAAGAGACGTTACACTGCTTCACTTTCTATATATACATTATCAGTGTATCAAAAGTTAATCCGTTAAACAAAAAAGAATGACCTTGTGAGGTGTTGCAACCAACATCGATGGTATTGTAGATATGTTTAACAGTGGCCTTGTTTGCGAACCAAAAATCGCGTTTGACATGATGAATGCAATCGAGTACTCCTTTGGTATAATCTCCACAGCCTCCCTTTACACAAAATTGTTTACCTTCTTTATTTGTTACATTGAGCCATCCAGACATTGTGAGTGTTTGTTTCTTTGAACAAATTGGAGATGTCTACATACAATATCACAATTTTTACTATATAAATAGCAAGTTAACTTACTCTAACAAAATGTAGACCAAAACACATTGCAAGTCTAATCATATGATGATAAGTTGATGTTATTACTGAATTTGAATATTGTAACAGAGTTGAAGTCAACAACTTACATTTAAGTAGAAAGTTAACTTACTCTAACAATATGTTTAATTAAAATGTAGACCAAAACTTATCACAAATCTAATCATGATGATAAATTGATATTATCACTGAATCTGAATATTTTAACAGAGTTTGAAGTCAACAACTTACATTTGACAAGCAGAAATAGGCACTTCTCCACTGCTCAAATGGGGCCAAATTCACATTAGCTGTGGGGTTTTTCCTATCTGATGAATGAAATAAGACATGTTAAAACTTGTAATATTTTCTTATGGGCATATTAAATAAACATGTTCGTTTAACTTAGTTTTAGCCAGCATTTCTATTCTTTAATTTTAGAATACGTCTGAGCAGACACTTAAATTTATATAAAGATCACATTTTGCGACAAATCAATTCGTGTGTATCTCATATGAATTGCCACATAAAATATCACGTAAAATATATGTGTCTACTTGTATACTCTTAAAAGCTAAAAGGACGTAAATATAGATAGTACGTTTATGTATTATGCTTTTCTTAAAAAACACAAAATGAATAAGCAAGAAAGGTATCTTGAAATTTTATGTATACTTTCAGCACTAACACCAGACATCACTAAGAAAATGCCCAAAAATAAGCTTAGTATCCCAATTCTTCTTCCATAACTCTGAGAATTTTCCATAGTTTTTTTAAGAAGAAAAAAGATAAAATTTTAAATTCTCAAGATAATGAAGAAGTTCGAATTACAAGAATGTGTTAGTTTCTTAATCTATAATTAGATTTTTATATCTAGAAAGGAAGATGCATTGGAGAGGGGATTTTTCTTTCTTAGTTAAAATAGGTAATATACTGAGAATATGAAGTGAATTGAGAAAAACAAGAACAAGATGTAAGATAATTAAGTTTTTCTTGTTTTATGTTTGGAGAAAAAAAGACAAAAAAAATTTCATTGGACTAATCGATATATTAATTCATGATTTAATAGAATATCGATAAATATCTTTTCATTCTTAATTTAAGATTTTGATTCAAGCTTTGATTATAAAATCGTTTTTTATTAAGTAACATTTTGCGTTTATATGAAAATTTCAAGCACAAAGTCAGATATGATCGAAGATTTATCATTTTACCACAAATAATAATATGACTTTATAGACATATTTAAATTTCACTTCGAAATACAAATACTGAAAATCAAAGATTGGGTTATATAACATTTTTCTTATGAAATAATAAAGGAAAAAAAGATAAATATATCCTCAAACTATCATAAATGGTATGCAGATACCCTCTATCATATTTTTGAGATATTGGTGCCCCTGTCGTCCAAAACTAGAGCATATATCTCATTCGATCTAATAGAATAAACAGGGACACGTTGCGCAGTTTTTAGACTTTGGACACAAATATCCCAAAAGCACGACTAAAGATATATACACACCATTTACGATAGTTCAGGAGTATATATATCTTTTTTGCCAATAATAAATAATCATTAGAAATGTATTTATTACAAAACAAAAAAAATAATATTTTTTAACTATTTTTAATCTATTGCCAAATGTTAATTCCCCATAAATTCCACTTATGACTCGGTCACATACATACGTAACTCCATCCACAACTCCAAAAAATAAAAAAATAAAAAGCATAACGCGATAAATATTGCGAATTTCCTCAAACAACTTGTAGTATTTAATCAAACTCGTATGTAATTACTTAACATGTTAAAACAAAAATAGTTTAATCATTATGATTAATTTAATCAAAGTTCGAGAAAAACAAAAAGAAGCAGCTGAAAATGCAGGATCAAAAACACCAATTAAAGAACAAACAGCCTCAAAATTACGTGTCCATAGAGATATTAGTGAATTAACCTTACCATCAATTTGTACAATTGAATTTCCAAATGGTAAAGATGATCTTATGAATTTTGAAGTTTCAATTAAACCTGATGAAGGTTATTATCATGATGGTGAATTTCCATTTAAATTTGAAATTCCAATACTTTATCCACATGATGCACCAAAAGTTAAGTGCAAAATCAAAGTTTATCATCCAAATATTGATTATGATGGTAATGTTTGTCTTAATATACTTAGAGAAGATTGGAAACCTGTTTTGAATATTAATGCTGTGATTTATGGCTTAATCCATTTGTTTACTGAACCTAATCATGAAGATCCACTTAATCCTGAAGCTGCTGATGAATTAAGAGATAATCCAAGATCATTTGAATCCCATGTTAGGAGTGCTATGTGGGGAGAAAGTGTGCATGGATTGACTTATGATCGTATACTATAATGTTATTTTTAAATAATTTTTTAATATCGATATTTATTTTATATAGTTTGGAAATACTGAATGAGTGTGTATTTTTATGTTGTTGCGATTCTATAATTTTGAAAAATAATTTCATAATGAGTTTTTCTTTTTGTATTGATTCTTTTTTTTTTCTTTTCTTTTCAACTTAGCTTTAAATAGGAGTGTAGACAATAAAATTCACGTCGAGAAAATAATAATCAAGAACGGAAAAAATTACAGCAACAATCAATTTTATTATTTCAAATGCGAGTGTTGCAATCTTTATAATTCCTCTGAATTCGCCTTTTTCAAATATAAATTCAAGGGCTTTAAAGCTTGTTCATGAATCTATGATGAACTTGAACTTGAACTTTATCTTGATCTTGACTTTTATTTGAATTCAAGGGCTTCGAGCTTGTTCTTGATCGTTCTTAAACTTGAATGCTTGAATTCTTAAACTTGTAGCTTTATAGAGAATTCAAGTTTATTTTATATAGTTTGGAAATACAGAATGAATGTGTATTTATGTTGTTGCGATTCTATAATTTTGAAAAATAATTTCATAATGAGTTTTTCTTTTTGTATTGATTCTTTTTTTTTTCAACTTAGCTTTAAATAGGAGTAGGAATATTTTTTTTGTTTTATATATCAATCGATTGTTACCTAAATGCTTAACGATGATAGAGTGAATAAAGCTAGATATTAAAAAAATGTATTTTGGCATGTTGAAGGTCTCAGGTTTGAAACTCCTTGCCAGCAAAAATAAGGAGTTTGTCTTCTGAGTCGAGCTCGTCATATAAGGCTTGTCTAATGCGGGTTATCTCTCCTATGTGATTTGCGAGCTATTGCATATGAGCGGAGATTTTAACCTGTACGCACCCAAAGAATAGTGACCACGAGTTTCCCTTAAAAAAAACATATGGATGAAGAAAATTAGCTCCATTTGGACATGGCTAGAGGTTCTACTCTATAGTTTGGATGTAATTATTTAGAGTCCTGCAATATTTTGTATACAAAATATATGTCTAAATGACGTTTGAATGTTATTTTTAGAAATTCAAAAAATAAAAATAATGACTCAAAACGTTTAATTTTTATTAAATTTTAGCTCCAAATTAATACAAGTGAAGCAAAAAATAATACAACTAATAATTGTTCATCTAATTAAAAATTTCATAAGTGAAGAAGAATTGTTAAATGATTGAAAAATTACACTCGTGAATTTTTTTTATTTTCTTAATTAAAAATAAATAAACTCCTAAGAAACATAAAACAAAGAAAATCCCTAAAATAAAATATTTAGCTGATTTTGCTATCAACTATCACAATAATGTAGCCTCAATCCTTAAAGTGAGTTTTAGAACTTTTTGTTGAATTTGATACCTAATCATTCTCTTTAACAATGGAATTGATCACTAGCGGAATTTAATTATATGAATAAAATATTCGTAAAAAATAACATGTTAAGTCTTATTATTGTGAGATATACGAAGCATCCAATTAAATATTGATATACTCCTTCATCAAATAGTTCAATTCCATCAATCTTTTACAACTTTTTCTTTTTTAAATAACTAGTTCTAGCGTTTCAAAGACACTTGAGTCTCTTGGAATCCGTGACACTGTTAAATTATCGTACATCAAACAAAAAAAATAATAATCTCTCGATTAAGTCGAATTCAAAATTCCATCTTTACCTACACAAATACAACTCTCTTTACAAGTCATAAAGTACCACATGAACCTAGAATAATTCTCAATTACACAAAATGAGTCCTTCAACTCGAGATGACCTAATAGATCATAGTAACATTTAAGGAAAAAATCTGAAATATATTCGAATTTTAATCGAAATTACAGTTACCAAACTTTGAAAATGACCTTTTACCCCTTCCCTTTCCTCCCTTACTATTTAATAGTGTATTTTAAAGGTATATATGTGTGCACGTGGACATCATAAATATTTCATAATTTTAAATAGTAACGTGTCCACATAGACATATATATACTTTTAAAAAACATTATTAAATAGTGCATGGGATAAAAGGTCCTCCATAAATTTTGATATTATAACAACAATTTCAGCCAAAGTGTAAATATTTTTCAAACCCTTTTCCCTAACATTTATGTTTTATAACTACAAAAAATATATATCTGATTAAAGAACAAAATATTGATTTAGAAGGTAATGTTTGTCTTAATATTCTTAGAGAAGATTGGAAACCTATTTTAAATATTAATGCTGTGATTTATGGTTTAATTCATTTGTTTACTGAACCTAATTATGAAGATCCACTTAATCATGAAGCAGCTGATGAATTAAGAGATAATCCAAAGATGTTTGATTCAAACGTTAGGAGGACGATGTGGGGAGGACATATGCATGATGTGTATTTTGATCGCGTTTTATAGAATTCGGAGCCTAAAGGGTATAAAATATTAATAAAAATTCTAAAACAGCATATAACATTTTGTATCAACCAAAACGGTAAAATACAACAGCAATCTCTTCCATCAAAATCGCTGCTGTAGCGATTATGCAAAAAAAATGTAATTTTTTATTAAAAAATTAAAATATTTTTATAAAAATCAATGCCTAAGTAGCGATTTCCATTTTTTTTAAAAAAAAATTCATGAAAATCAACGGCACACATCTTCATTTGAATTTTTTTTAAAAAAATGATAAGCACTGCCAAATCCTTTTTTTTAGCCATTTTGATTAATATAAAATTTTCTATATAGTTTTAAAACTTTTATTAATATTTTATACTCTTTAAACTCCAAACTCGCATTTTTTTTAACTTAAAATATAGAATTTGAAGCTCGAAAAACAAAAGAGTTATTTAATTCATTTCAAAAATACTTTTAAATTATGCAAAACTGAACCAAAATGCATTTTAATTCATAATTAAATCAAAAAGAATATTCTTCAAATAACATAATTTAACACATTTTTCAATACTTTTTCATTAATTAATTAATTGATTATGGATGTGAGTCTAAACCAGGCCACCAAATCATAGAGAAATCAGAGGTAGCAGACATGTTGACTCAATTAATTCAATTTCTGTACACATAACCATGCTTCCTTCATTCCAATTATCCAGCGCATCGGCTTAATTGCGCACAGATATAACTAATCTTCGTTGAAAAATTACATCGTATATATAAAATTAAATAAAAAATTACATCGAAAAAATGAATTTGAGTCTAAACCAGGCCACCAAATCATAAGAGAAATCAGAGGTAGCAGACATGTCGACTCTATTAAATTCAATTTCTGTACATATAACCATGCTACCTTCATTCTAATTATCCAGAGCATCGGCTTAATTATGCACAGATTCAAAATAAAAAAACATAAATTATGAGTAAAATCAACAAAAGAAAATAAAACCATTGAAGCTTTGAAATTATTGGTTGCTCCTTGAAAGAGTTATATATATATAGGGAGCTGCTAGGGTTTAAGATTTTATGGTATGGATTGATGAAAAGCCCAATATTAGTTGGATGGGCTTTTGTAATTTGGTGCTACTTGAAGCCCAGATCAATGTAACATCCTCATTATTATTTATGAAAAAAAATTATTATAATTAAATCGAACGTCAAGGAAAATGTGACACGTATACAAGTGACGTATTTAAACCAAATGAAATATGGCCATATCACTTCAATAAAAAATCAGAGAGAGTTCGAAGATCAAATATCGTAGACTTCTTTATAAGTAATAAATATTCAAGTACTTTTCCTATATATAAGTACTCAAGATCAAGACAGAAAATCAAAATTTAGTTTTATGTTCTTAAATTAAAATACAAGTCTAAATCAAGTATGTCAAATTCAAGATTAAGCTAAAAGACCCTCAAATTTATTTTTGAAAAGAAGATCTATTGGAGTCATGTTGATGATCACTTTCTTCAGAAAAAGAATTATGATAACAGTTTATTTTCATACAAAAATTGTTGTCACAAATTGGGGTGAGATGAAACTTATCCTTCATTCCTTCACAAGTAGGGGTGTAGAATTTTTTATGGACGTCTTATAGGACCTTCGAAATGGAATCACTTAATCCGGCCTAGAAAAATGGTGCATTTTCAAGTTGAAACGAGCTTTAAAGCACGCAAGACAGATTTTATCAAATTTCATGTACTATAACTTATGAATTTTTTTGATTCGAAAATCCTGAAATAAACGATCAAAATTTTTCATGAACGTCCAATAAGACCTTTGAAATGGAACCAGTTCATCCCGCCGAAAAAAATGATGTATTTTCAAGTTATAACGAACTCCAAAGTAGGTATAGACAGTTTTTTCTCGATTTTTATATGCTATATATCCTATGAATTTCTTTTATAAGAAAATTCCGAAATAAAATATTTGAAAATTTTCATGAACATCCATTAGGATCATTCACTAAAAAATATTTTAAATTATCTAATAAATTTTTAAATATTAACTAAAGAATCAAGACATAAATTGTTGAAAAGACATCTAAAGAAAAATTGCACTAGATGAATTGAGTGACTAATTAAACTTTCATTTCATTAGTGAAAATACAATTTCTACCATCTAATCCATTTCTAATTTTTTATTTTTTCCTAAAATAAAAGGCATCTCAAATTTATCGCAAACACTATATTATTTGCTTTCTTGCAACTACTTTTATCCTTCATATGCTATCTCTACCTTTCTCTGTCCGTATTTATTGGAATAACATTAATTACGCTTCAATCTCCTATCACTACTTCCTTACGAGGATTTTTCATTTCATTTGTCTTCCTCTTTTCCTCAAATAATGTCTAATACTAAAACGATTACTTGTAATAATATCGTAAAAATCACTACAATATTGATAATCGTGAACTTTATAACATTAGTTCATGGTGCATCAAAAGTACCTTGCTATTTTATTTTTGGTGATTCATTACTTGATAATGGGAATAATAACAACCTAAATACACAAGCAAAGGCTAATTATCCACCTTATGGCATCGATTTCCCCAATGGACCTACTGGACGATTCACAAATGGACGCAATATGGCTGATATTCTTGGTCTCTTTTCTATTTTCGATATTTCGATTAATTTTATTTCAAGACTTGAAAGATCGATTAAAGAGAAAAGCTTTTTCATTCTGTTGCTCGAACCCAAAACCTTTTATTAAGAGAGAACGGGGTGTCATTTTTGTTTTACCTATAATAGATTTATATGTTGAATTTTTATTATAAAAAATAGAAAATACAATCTATTCATTCTTATCCATGACATTAAAAATATATGGTGTTATTTCTATTCTAATACATCTTATTTAATATAGTCAACCAAACTGTCGATAAAAACAATAATATTATTAACATAACTAATCTCAAACATACGAATATACCTAATTAAAAAAACTACACTACATGTACCTTTGTATGTATGTGTGTGTTTTATATATGTAGTAAATGTTGTTTTCGTATGTTAAAATTCTTTCTATATTAAAATTTCTTAAATGAAAATCTTGATTATTTGTTATTAAATCTTTTTTTTATAAAAAAAAAATTCACAGGGCAACTATTAGAATTTGATAACTACATTCCACCTTTTGCAAGTGCAACTGGTAAGGAGATCTTGCAAGGTGTAAACTATGCCTCTGGTTCAGCAGGAATTCGTAACGAGACGGGAAGTCATCTCGTAAGTTTATATACAAAACACATGTCATGGATTTATTGAATTAAATATTATAAAAATTCGATGGCATATGTCCCTTATATGATCAAACTTTTCCCTAGTTAATCATTTACATCTAACCTACTATCTAATGAATGATGTTCGTTTACATGTCATAAAACTGAAGTTCATATAAAAATAATTATATAACAAACATTTTGTCTTTATATATTTATAGAGTTCGATAAATTATATTTCAGGGCAATCGCATATATTTGGATTTGCAACTTCAAAACCATCACAACACAATTTTAAGAATGGTGGATTTAGTGGGCAATAGAGCTGCAACCAACGCACACTTGAACACATGTTTGTACATTGTTGGAATAGGTAGCAATGACTACATCAACAACTACCTTGCACCCAAACATTACTCAACAAATAGTTTGTACACACCAAGTCAATATGCAACATTATTGGTACAACAATATGGTCAACAACTAAAGGTTCAAAATTAACTTCTATCACTAGTTCAAATTATTCATTCTTAACTTGCAAATTTATTTAGAAAATTTTCAAAGATTATTATAGTGTTAAAAGGGTATGTTAGTTGTTGTTTTAAGATCATTATGTAGTTAAAAGAGTAGTATGTGTAATGGAATAGATCTGTTCTTTGTTAATAGTTAGTGTTAAGTATATCCTTCTTGTTACTAGTTGGGATCGAATTTACCCCTAAACTATCCGAAATGGAATAGACTTATCTAACCATTAATAGTTGCAGTCAAATTTGTTCCTAAACTATGCGAAATGAATAGACTTATTTACAGTTAAAAGTTGTGGTCAAGTTTGTCCCTGAACTATGCGAAGTAGAACAAATTTACCTATGTTAATAGTTGGGGTCAAATATGTCTTTGTTGTAGCCTGTAGGTAAAGTTTGCCCTTATTTTAAAGGTGAAAGCTTAGCACCTAGTGATGTCACCTATCACAAAATTAAGGATTAATTTTTAATACGGAATATTAATTTGGGACCTTTCACATAGTTCAAGAACAATATGGACCATTTTATCAAGTTCAAGGGCAAATTTGGACTTCTCACATACTTCAATTCGCATAGTTTAGAGATAAATACTAAACAAACTACTTCTACATGCCTATGAACTTTTGCTTTTGAATTATAGCACAATCTTGATTTCCTATGTGTTGAATGATTAATTAGCATCACCTATATACTATTTCCAGGTAGGAATAAAGTTTGTGTACATTTTATCATGTTCAGATCCAACTTGTGAGATTATATTGTGTATGTTATTGTTGTTGTCTTAATACAATTATATATTTGGTTTGATGCTAGACTTTATATGAAGATGGAGCAAGGAAAATAGCCCTATTTGGATTGCCCCAAATAGGTTGCATTCCTCAAGAGTTACAAAAACACAATACAAGAAAGTGTGTGGATTCAACAAATGAAGCAATTCAACTATTCAATGAGAAGCTCAAGTCTCTTGTAACTGATCTGAATACCAACTTCCCACAAGCAAAATTCACCTATATAAATATGTATAGCATTTCATCACTTATGAGTACGTACATCAATCTAAAGTTTTATTTTTCTCCATTGTATAGAAAATCTCGGAACCTAAGTGTTGTTATAGAGACGTTTGACTATATAAAGAACTACTCTTTAATCTATAAATTCAATTTTATTTGTTTTGCAGGTACTCTTAGTTTCTTGAATTATCCGTGCTGCAAAATTTCGACTACAACGGCTGAAGGACAATGTGTTTCTGGACAAGCTCCATGCCACCTAAGGGCAGCACATGTGTTTTGGGATAATTTTCATCCTACAGAGAATGGAAATATAATTGCTGTTATGAGAGCATACAATGCTTTTCTACCTTCAGATAGTTATCCTATGGATATTAGTCATTTGATTGAGAGTGGATAATAGCCAATCTGAAGTTTATTGTTAGTACAAATAGATTTATGGTTTAGTCCTGGTTGTTTAATGGAAATAGCTAGCCTATCTAGGTAAGGTTGTGTATACATCACCTCTCGTGAAAAAGAACTGCACTGAGTATGTTGTTGTCTTTTAGATTTTTTTGAAGGTTGTAATGATCTGTATGTAAACGAGTTGTTCTCCCATTTTGAGCTACAACTAATGGAATATGTAAATGAGTTGTTGATGACTACCTAAACTTTCACTGGATTGGTGAGGGTTTGTTTCTCACCTTGAAATCTCCTCTCCTCGTTTCCCATCACTGTGAGATTACGGGAGAGCTGCTTGCGAAAGAAATTCATGGCTTCTGTAGTGTAAGAAAAAAGCACAGAAGAGAAAATACCCCTATATATTCATTTGCACCGAAAAAGAGCTAACCTGAATCGGAAGTCACAGAGCTCTCTTCTCTTTTAAGAGCAGCAGCCACCACTCAAGCCCGTACTGTGTTTATAATTCGGGAGAGCAGAGATAGGACAAAGTGGTGACTGACAAAAAGTGATCACGTTATTTTGAGCGATGCAAGTTGTTGGCTAGGAGGACTGGTATAAGAATGAAACTTCCATGGCCATGGTTGACAAACCCATTGAGGAAGAACAATCTTTCCCAACATTATCAGACCTCCCTAGCTCAGTAAGAACGAGAATTACGGGGAGGTTCCCAGCCCTGGAGAGATGACAGCAGAAAACTCATCGGAATGCATGATTAGCGAAGCACAGATTAGATAAGCAGATGAATTTCCAGAGACCAAAGAGCCAATTCAGTACTAAATGCCCATAGCAATTTACGACATCTAACAAAACTAGGCTAGATTGATTCTCTTAGTACAAGTCAAAGTACAGTTATGCACCTGAGCATTCAGAAACGACAAATTCAAATGTCCACTACTTTCCACATTAATTTACAACTATCTATTCTGCATTGTGCACCTATCTCAAAACAACAGCTGCGTTTCTGAGAGCCAAGTACCTCTGAACATAGTCATTAGGGAGCGACCTTATTGTCTTAAAAACCTCAGTATTAGCATAACGGAGTTTAGTTCTTGGGTCAAAATACGGTGCCTGCATGTCAAACATAAGAGACATTGGTGGGATGCACAATAAAAAATCAGAAAGCAAGCAGAAACTAAGACCATATAATCATAGAAGACATTCAGTTGAGAAGGTACCTCGAATCCTGTTATGTCACATATCTTTTTGCCAGGATGCATAGAAGGTGGCGTTTCAATGTTAACATCTGTGGAGAAAGAAACGAAGTCAAAACCTCGAAATATTCATTAAGCTACGAATTATAGAAAGGAATCCGTGCAAAATTATGCCTCTAGACTGGGAAACAAATACTCTGTTGGTCCTGAAAACATAATTTGAACAAGTTGTCCAGTGATTGATGATAAAAGTGCAGCATATAAACAAGAAGGATATCATTTCCCCATCTACAATTCAATTCGAAATATAATGGTCTGCAATCACCTTCTAGCTAATAGTCAAATGTCTGGGGGTTCGGAGACTGTTAGCAAATGTTCTGTGATGTTGCTGGAAAATGCAGCAATTTTCAAGGCAGTTTTCATCAGGCTTGACAACAATAGCGCAATGCCGAAAATGCATCTAGATTACACAACCTAATTAATAATAGAACTTAGCAAACACATAATGCTATCCCAACCATTAGCAACCACAAAATTATGGGAGCAATTAAAGTAAAAGCAATATCTGATCTGCCTGTAAGAGTTCTTCAAGCAAATTCAGTTAGAGCTATTACTACATGGGCAGGCCGTCAGGGGAACATGGTTGCAATGGGAAATAAAAACTGATGACATGATTTGCAGCTCAATGTGTCCTAGGAAAGAAAATAAACCAACGCTCCGAATTGAACTGAAAGGTTTTCAACTCCTAGGTCTCACAAAAGTTGAAGTGTATTGAGTCAAGGAAATGACACAATTATTTTATTTTTTGTGAAAAGTAGTATCAATGATGGGTTCAGTAATTTGATTGTCAAGATCTAAAAAGTACAAAATTGAACTCAGTTTCTATCAAATTATGCAACAAGAATTCAATAAATTGTTTGGGCATTTCAGTATGGATATTAGATGTTATAATCAAAAGCAGTTTTACCTACATCTACTTTTTGTCAATATGCTCATTGGGTATGTTAAACCAAATTTCCAACCAAGTCAGTAGATCAAACTCAGTAGCAAACCAAAACCACTCGACAAAGGTTTGGCTACCCATCAATTTCTCTTCAAGGCAAAGAGAAATATTTGCATACGAACAAAATTATAAAGATTCAGCAACTGAAGTAAACTAAATAAGTATATCTACATTGTATCTTCTCATATAAAAAAAAACACCTATATTGCCGAAACCCAGACCACGGCTCCATTCTTCATTACAGGCAAACAAATTGAAGTGCATGATTTAAGATCAAAGTACTATGTATCTTAGTCTGCTTATGCCACTGATCTCAAATGCCCACAGAAAATTAAAAACAATAAAGGTTGATGACAGGAACTGAAAATGTAGCAATGCTATAGTTTTTTTTGAAATTAAATATTTTTTCTGAAACTATGTAGCAATGCTATAGCTATGCTAAACATAACATGTTTGTGTGAGTTCATCTGCAAATTTCCTTCTCCATCGACCACAATCGATCATCAATGGAGAAAGTGTAGATTATATTTCTTAATACTGAGAGAAAATGGGCATAAGCGTAGTTCAATCTTGTGGTGTATACGTTTGTAGTGAGTAGGACAATCACTCATTTCTTTTGTATTCGGAGCGACAACCTATCTAATGGATAGGACAGAGGTCTTGTATACCTTTGGTATTGTATAGGTTCAAATCCTATTGGACACAATCTATTTCCATATATATCTTTTTTCAGATTTCGATAGCAAGAAAGAGGAATAGCATTCGCAGTCCGAAGAAGAGAGGAAGGAGGCCCTCCTCCAGGAAATAAGGAAATTAATTCTACTGGGAGAGTAGCAAAAGAACTCTACTAGCCTAGAGAAGGCCTAGAGCCGTAGAAAAAACACCTATGTCTGTACCAGTCCCGGAAGAGCGAAAAGCGGGTCAGATTTATGCCGACGGCAGCAAGAATAAGTCACAAAGCTTGTATTGCTCTACCACGACCCTGTTTCACGGTTTAGGCAGCTCCCATTTCGCCCACCACTATAAAAAAAAACGAGAAAATGATCAAATCATCCATAATGTATAGGGTTGGACTAGTTTGGTTACCACATATTTTTCCATCTCCCAAGCCTCATTGTCATTAAAAACAAACTTTTCTACTGTTCACCTAAAAAAAACAGCCTACACCAGCGGTCTCATACGATCACCATCTCTGCTGCAAGACAACACCATTCACCACCAGCATCGGGGATTCATTTTATTTCATCTCATAGACCAGAGAACTCTCATATCTCTGCACCAACATTCACGTATAAACCTCATTCTACCTACCAAAAAAGGAAGAATAACAGTTGAAAGAGGAAAGGGAAAAAGAATTCTACGGCCTCAGCCGGGAAACAATCAACGGAGATATAATACGTACTTGAACTTTCCTTTCCTTTTTTCTTGTTTCTGCTTCTCCTAGAAGAGATCCCCATTTGCCCAAATGTGGGTGTGATATTCAGTGTTCATAGTATCCCAAAAGAGGAGCATTTACTGGTAAAGCTTGCAGGAAATGCAATCAAGTAAATCTTATCCTCTTGCCTAGCCATGTGTGAAGCAAGATTTATATGGAGGACAAGCTGCAAAAAGTGAGACTAACATGGTTCATGCATGTGAAGAGGAGATGCATGGACACCCCAGTGCGAGGTGTGAGAGGCTGGTTATGGATGGTTTCAGGATAGGTAGTTGTAGGCTGAAGAAGTATTGGGAGAGGTAATGAGAGAGGTAATTAAACAGGACGCGACTTCAGCTTATCGAGGATAGGACCATATATAGGAGGTTATGGAGGATACAAATTAGGGATACAGGGTGAGATAGAAAGTTGAGTGTTATCTTAATCATCCTTCCATTCTAGTAGACAGTAGTCGTATATTACTCCTGTAGTTTCTTGTTATCTCATTTCTGTTACTATTTAACATTATTTGCACTTCGATTATCGTATTATTTTGTCTTGATTACTTCATTCCCGTTGTTTTCTTTTTTCAAACTGCTTCATAATGCTTTTATATGAGCTGGGGGATCTATCAAAAAAAAACCCCGCCCTCCAAAAGCAGGGTTAAGGTCTGCATATACACTAGCCTCCCTAGACCCCACTTGTGGGATTACCACAGCTATGTTGTTGTTGGGTTGTTCTGAGCTTTTGTGTTTATTAGCCACCAGAGATACACTTGAAACACATCCCCATTACATTTAAACATAGTTTTGACTCTATATAGAGTCCTTAATGGACTAGCAAACTCAATCGACGGGTGCTGTCACTGAGAAGCGGAGAGTGGAGCTCATGAATACATTATGGATCATTTCAGTTGAGAATTATACAAATTAAAAGAAAAAATGTTGTAAAAAGCTGAATTGGAAGATCGAAACTCACAAGTAGGTAGATGAGGAGGATAATTTTCGTAATTTTCTGCTTGTATAATCTGCTTGAGATGTTTCCAGTGCCGTCCTCTTGCTTGTCCTTTAGGGTACTTGTCGTACATCTGAATCTTCTTAAATTTCATGTGAGTTGGAAGTACTAGTTCTGCTTCTAACACTTCTCGCTCCATTAATTCAGATCCGACCGCCGATTGATGACAGCTATTTACGGTGGTGAAGTTCCTGCCGATGATTCTCCGACGGGGAAATGAAGGGGTACCAGAAGACAAGGGGAATTAAAGCGGGTTTTACTTATTACTTGGATCTTAACCCGTAATGATGTCTATGGGCTTATGATCTTTTTTTTTTTCTGTCTCTTACCGTAAGATTAGTGGTGGCAAATGGGCGGGTTGAATCAAATGTGAGCGAGTTAAAAATGGGTAATAATTCAATCCGATCATATTTGATATGGTTGAAAATTGATGGGAAAATTATATATAATGGAAAATTATTAATTTAAATTAAATGTTAGATTTACGATTTAATTGTACCCTGTAGCAAACATGTGTTAGTCGCCTCTCTCCCTTAAACTCTCGCTCGCCACTCGCCTCTCGCCTCTCTCGCTTTATACAAATAATAATGAATAGATTGTGTTTCTGTGTGTGTAATGCGA